AAATGGAAGACATTTATGATATTTTAATTAGAACTTAAAAGCAGACCACCTACCAAGGTGTAATCTAAGATAAACAAAGGATACACTCAATAGGTTAACTATGATTACCTAATGTAATGAGAGATTACGGGATTTCCTAAAATTTTTATCACTTCCCCCCTAAAACATACATATATATTTGTTAATAAGAAAAAAATGATACAATCACAGTTTTTAAAAATAAAGGGGAGGGGCGCCTGGATGGCTTAGTCAGTTAAACATCCAACTTTGGCTCAGGACACAGTCTCACTGCTTGTGGGTTCGAGCCCCACATCGGGCTCTATGCTGACAGCTCAGAGCCTAGAGCCTGCTTCAGATTCGGTGTCTCCCTCTAGCTTTGCTCCTCCCCCACTCGCACTCTATCTCTCTCTCAAAAATGAATAAATGTTAAAAAAATTTTTTAATAAAGGTGAGTTTTAGATTTTAAAACTGTGTACCAGACCTCATACAACACCCAGGTTGCCAATGTATTCAAAGCCCTGCTACCCTCAAAAGAACTCTAAACCCTCATCACAATGGCTGCGGTATAGCAGGGATTAAATAAAAAGATAAAATTCTAGATTTTTCTGTCTCCCATCTGTTTGTGGGATAGGTTACACAAACCCATACATACATGGAACCACACAGAACTTCAGAGCCCCTGAAAAAAAAGTTAAAAGCAATTCCATGTAAAAATTATGAAAATAAATATTTCTGATTGAAAAAGGTTTTAGATGCTGTAAAGGAAACCAATAAAACGGCAAAACCTTCCCAGGGGCGCCTGGGTGGCTCAGTTGGTTAACTGTCTGACTGGCTCAGGTCAAGATCTCACAATTCATGGGTTCGAGCCCCGCGTTGGGCTCTGTGCTGACAGCTCAGAGCCTGGAGCCTGCTTCGGATTCTGTGTCTCCCTCTCTCTCTTTGCCCCTCCCCTGCTTGCACTCTGTCTCTCTCAAAGATAAATAAATGTTTAAAAAAAAAAAAAAAAGGGCATGACCTTCCCTGAATGGTCAAGTCCACCTAGGTAATCTCATCAGCCCAGACCCTGACTGAGAAGTCAAGTCCATGTTCCTCTGTCAAGTGCAGGCGATCCCTTCTCTCACAGAGTACCTGCAATGATGGAAGAACACACTACACTTGGAGATTGCTGGATGTGAGGAGCGTCACCCCCACCACCTGAACAAAACCTCTCTCCATGAAGCTCCATTCTCTGAATTCTGCGTGGCGGCTGGTGGCGGCACATGCTCCTTTATTAGGTGGCACGGCATGAGATCTACCTTGTAGCTCCCCCAGCCTCAGAGTTCTTCCTGGAGCCACAGGACGTACGAGAGCTAAAGGTGGGAGCATCTGCTCATCCTTGATCTACTTAGAGTACCTTAGCTCACAAATCCATCCTGAGATTCTCAGGTTGATTCTGGTTTTAAGAGAAAGCTGTTTCTCTTCTCACTTGTTAGCCCAAAAGACTTGCAGCCAAATAAACCAACAACAAAACCCTGAGATGAAACATCTAACAATGTTAATTTTCAAAGCCCTATATTCCCCCTCCAGCTTCTCAAGGTCATAACTCCTTGCTGAATGATTACAGAGGGGTGCTGACATGGGACGTGGGAAAAACAGTCCTACGAAGTCCACCCTCTAATAGAAAGAGCAAACAGCTCAGATCCCAGCCAGCTGCGACAAAGGACTGACAGAGCCGAACACATGGGAGCCCCTGGGCGTCTGTGCAGATGTCTGTTCATCCACCTCCTCGGAGAGAACGGAGAGAACGAATCACAAGACTGTTCGGAATAAGAAACCAAAAGGGCAGAAGCCCCAGGAAGCAGCCGGGCCTGAATTTCATGCAGTTTCCAGAGAGTGAGCTCACATGCTGGGTGGGTTATTTGCACAGTGGGCAGGCGAGGCTGACAGCTTGAGGGGGTTATTTTCAGGGGGAGGGGGTGGTTGTAAGTCCTATTCTCCTGGAGACGCTTCTGGGCCCTGAGCTCCCAGGAAGCATTTTCAGCTCCCAGTCTGTCCCCCTCCCCCCCCATTCACACAGGGGTTAAGGGCCTGTCAGCCAGCCCAGCAAGCATGGTCTTTGTATTTAAACCATCTCAAGGGGACCCATATCTCCAGGGACAACCAGAACCTGGGAGAGAAGAGAGAAGGGAGAGGAGAGAGAGGAGTCCTCCACCCATAAGTGCTGGCTGCACAACCTCTGATCCAGGAAGTGAAATACATGGGACAGGGGTGGGGGGGATCATCAAAAAAAAGAGCCTGGGAAGACTAGAATACCCTGAAGAGCAGCTAGAGGAATCTCGACCATAAGCACAGAAATGTTTCTGCCTCCCTTCCCCTCCTCCCCTCTGCTGGGCATCAAGCGCCTTCCTACTGTGTGTGCTCCAAATGCAGATCAAAGCACTATGTCTACACCACTCTCGTGCCCAGGGATTCTTAGTCATCAGAGGGCCCCCAGACTGCAGCTGTAATCTCTTTCTAATTAAATAAAAAACCCTAACCAGCCCAAACCAGCACAAGCAATATACAAGTCAAACATACATTTACATATGTGCCTATTTACACACACACATATACATATGTTTTTACAGCAGGAAGCCTGTTCCCCAAGTCTAGAATCCTCTGCCTTCCTCATCTGATTCCAGCAGCAACAGACATTTCTGCCACCTGTGGGGGCTGATTCCAGATCAAAACGCCACCCCTCCGGTGCACCCTACCAGCCCAGTGAGATCCATTAACAAACCAGGGAACAAAGACGGAAGAGAGGCCCAACCTGCATTCCTTGAAAGTGGGGTTAGATTCTATACTTTGATAAACCTCAGAGCCTGAACCTCTTTGCTCTCAGGAGCAGCCAGGGTGCAGCTCTCAGACTCTTAATAAACAAGCCCGCCTCTCTCCCCACCACTAGGCACAAGGACTTTCTCTGCCCAGCATCTATTTTCAGCCCCTATAAATCATATTCCATTGTTTGAGGGAATCTGAACTCATGCTTAATAAACCATCAACCTCACTCCTCTGCCACCACCCCAAATTTCCCTCAGGGAAAGACGGTTTGGAGGAGGAAAGGAAATTCTTAATTAGGGCTGGATTTTAAAAGCAAGCTTCCACACAAAACAGAAAAACAAATCTGGTCTAAACACCGTAACCGCTAACGTCTTTGATTAAAGCACTGGACTGTGATTCTCAGGTCCAGGGGGGACTTCAGTGAACATCGGAAGGAAGCAGAAGTTGAACCTAATGCCAAATGACACATGATCGGGCACTTCATGACCGTGTCGGTGCTGCAGTGGCTAGATTAAATTGCTCTGATGCAGAATTTCTCCCAAGTATAGGTTACCAAGAAACATAATATTGCTTTAAAATTAGGTGTGTTCACCATTCTCACACCAGCAGTCATGAATCGTAATCATAACCAGGCTTAACCTAACACAATTCCCCTATCTTTCCCGGAGAGGCAGGGAAATAAGCGGCCATGAAGCTCATGTTCTAAGATCAAAAACCAGATCACAGCACTCACGGCATAAAGTCTGCCAAACCAGGGCTCTGGGTACACACAATTCTTAAGGAGCTCATTTAATGGAAAACAGCTGTCTGGCCCAGGAAACCCTTCTGACTTTCTGGAAAATGGAGGGGTTTCAAAGGATTATGCAGAGTGACTGTGACTTTGAAAATTCCCAAACTCTTAACCGAAGCCCGAATGAGAACAGGTTTTTAAACTGACCCACCGCAAGACACTGCACAGTTCACCTGGACCCTGCAAGCCCAGCGGGAGCTCAGCGGTCCACACTGCAGCTTGCCTGTTACAGGTCTGCAGACCCACTCCCTGCTGGCAGAGTCCGGCCACCCCCACCTGGCTACCAGCAGGCTTCAACACCTTGTCCAGATCCAAGTGAGGGCACCAGCCGGGGGTGCGGGGAGGGGTGTCCCCTGGGCCTACCCTCCTACCTGCTGTATTCCTGGCTGGCTGAACAATGCTCAGGGAGGGGGCCCCAGGAAAAGCCACATCATGCCCAGTGCGCCACTCCACCACTCCCCGGTCCTCAACAACACCGGTTGCACAATCTTCCACCCATGAAAGAGGTGTGCAGAAACAAGGGGCCTGCTCCAGAAGGATGCGAGGAACAAAAGCATCGGGGGGCCCCGGCTGGTCTCCACCTCTCCCCTCTTCCGGAGGGCAGAGGCCACAGAGCTCCTGCAGGGTAAGTAAAGATGTTGTAAAACCCAACTTTGGGAAGAGGAGGCAGTAAAAGAGGCCCCTAGGCACCCACGGCTGCCAGCACTCACAACCTCCAGACATCAGGCATTTGACCATGACCATAGCGGTAAGCGGAACACACCAAAAAAGTGCCTTCTGGCTTAAGAGCATACACCTTAAAGCGGCTAAACTGGCCGCTTCACTTTTCTCTGCTCTTAGCATGTGATCCTGAAAGGCACGGACAGAGAAAGTTTCTGGGATTAACTGGAGAAAACACACGCCAGTGAAGGCACCCTGGGGGACCTCCCTGGAGGCCCTCACTGCTGCTTGCCCCACCCTGGCACCTGAGTAAGGCTTGCCATGGGGTCATCAATACAAACTGATTTACCACCACCACCCACCCATACACACACACACACGGTGTGTCAGGTTTTCTGACTCCCTTTAACTAGGCTAACTCAAACGCATCCCTAAGGTGCGACCCCACAGGTGTGACTGGCTTGGCCACACCCAGCCAGCGAGGGAAGACATCCCCCCACCACCACGTCCTTGCCGGCTGCAGGGTGCGGGCGCCTGCCTCTGCCCCCTCCTCTCCACCCACCGGGAAGTCGGAGCCCCCCCCCCACCCCCACGCAGTCAGAGCACTTTAAATCCCCGCCGCCGTGGCCCCATTACTGTCCAGAAAAGCACAGCCGCCCCCGAACAGCCGGCCCACGGAGCATCTGGAGTCCTCCCGGCCCGGCGCTCACGCCTCCCCGGGCCGCCCCCGCCCCCGCGGGCCGCGCCTTACCGCCGGTGTCCTCGAAGCGCGGGGGCGGACGATCCCGCAGCGTGGCGCTCCAGCCCGCGCCGGCCTCGTCCTCCTCGGCCTCCTGCGCATCGGGGGCACCGGGCGGCGGCGGGGGGCCGGGGCGCTCGTGTTCGTCGTCCGAGGAGGCGGCCGAGGAGGAGCGCGAGGCTGCCGACGTGCTGTAGAAGGGGTTCCCGCCGCTGTCCGGGCCCGACTCGCCGAACACGTCGTCCGAGATGTGCAGGCTCTCGTAGCGCGCGCGGGCCGCCTCGAGCAGCGCCGGCGCCCTCCTCCGCGCGCCCCCGCCGCCCTCGGCCATAGCCCCGGCCGCCGCCCGCGCGCCCGCCCCCCACAGCGCTTCCCAGCCGCACGCGCCGGGCCCCGGGCCCGCGCCGCGGCCCGCCGTCCCCCACCAGCGCAGCCCGCAGCACAGCGCCCGCCGCCCCGCGCCCTGCCGGCCCGCCGTCTTGGCCGCCTCGGGCCCTGCGCCCGGGGAAGCGCCCTCAGAGCTCGGGCGCCGCCGGCTGCGGGCCGCGGCTGGAGGCAGGGCGCGCGGGCGGGAGGCTGGTGCTGCGGCCGGGCCCAGGCGCCGCCGTTACAGTCGCCGCTGCGTCTCCTCGGCGCCCGCCGCGTCCCCGCGCGCCCTCCCGCGGCACCCAGCGCTCCCCGGCCGACCTTCCCGGGCGCGAGCCACCGGAGGCGGGCCCCGCCTCCTCGCACCTCCGGCCCGCCGGCCAATCGGGAGCCGGGCCGGGGCGGGGCCGGCGCGGGGCACGCCCCCCCAACCGGGCGGGACCAGGAAAGAGGCGGCGGCGGCTGGCTGACTGGAAGGGGGAGGGCAGGCGGCGGCTCGAGCCCGTCCCCTCGCCTGCAGGGCCGTGCGGCCCCGGACGGCCACCCGCAGGCCCCGCGCTCGCTCCGTGCGGGGAAGGGAGGAACCGAGTGGGTGCCGGCGGGGGAGGGGACGCAGCTGATTCTTCCTGCCTCCCCAGCAGGACCGGCGCTCACGTCCGCTAAAGCTCTAGGCGCCCCGCGCCGGGGAGCTGTCCGCCCCCGTGGTTCTGAACCAGGCGCGGCCGAAACTCCAGGGAGGCGGCGGCCCGAGCCTCACAATTCCCGCGGCTGTTGCCGCTGCTACTGCTTCCCGGGGCTCACAGCCGGCTGCGCCTCTTGCTCCTATAAGCACAAGGGCTGCCTGGCTTCCGGGAATCTTGCTCTAATTAGGAGCTGGCCTCGACGGTCCATTTCTGGGGTCAGATGCTAACTCAGTCTCGCCTGAGTATCCCTGTAATTTGAGGGTGGCAGCATCTGGTCTTAGTCATTCCCTCTCATCTTTGATGTTTGACCTCTCTTAAACTGAAAATATTCATTGCCTCCCAAATATTGATTACTCTGACACCACTCTTGCCACATCTTTACTTACACATTTGACACACTCGCCTGTTAAAATATAGCACAATCACCCAGGCGTCAGTGCTCTGATAAACAATGGCACAAGAAGGATTCATCCACCCCTCTTGCTCGGCCAGGAGTCTGTGGCACTTATTCTGTTGATGGTGCTACCTATGATCAGTCTGTCTCCTTGGTCCCCTCTCCCTCCCACAAATAGTGCAATAAGTCACAATGATGGTAATTGGGCCATAAAGTCACTTGCACTCAGAAATAAAATAAATCCACAGAGATATGAAGGGCTTGCAAATCCTACTGGGTATTAACTAAATAATGATTGCCCAAGAGGGAAAGGCATGTTGCTATTTCTAAGCATGCATAAAGGATGAAGATGATGGGACCGTTCTGCCACCAACTGAGGTCAATTCAACAGCAGGCTGGCAGCTTCTGCTCTTGCCCTCCCCTCTCAGGCCTGTGTTTTCTTCTCCCAGACCAGAGCCTCTGTACAGGCATGAATCCCTGATAATCACTGAAAGAAAATATATAGAAAGAAAGGGATTCACATGACATTGCCTTCTATGTGGATTGGCTGATATTTGTGAAGTTGTTTGCAAAGCCTTTCAACTCTGTTGGAAGAATTATGCCACAGAAGAAAACTGGCTTCTGGCATATCCATATACTGTGCTCACCAGCGAAACATTTTGAAGACAGTACATACAGGTAATCAGACTTACCTCAAAAGGTCAATGGGAACATAGATCGAAGATGCAAAATAAGACTCCATAGCTCAAGTTCAAATTCTGCAATTAGGAATTCTGTAATTTTTTATGTTATCTCTTAAAAAATAATTGAATGGGATCTAGAGGCTGAAATCTGTAGGCAAGAGTTCCTTCTCTTCTCCAGGTACCCAAGGAAAAAGTCAGCAGCTAAAGTGAGTGTGTGTTTTAAAAACAATGGCTTGCTTCGCTACCCCTAAGAAGCACAAAATAGAGCAATAACAGTTACAAGGATGGACACAGTCTTCCATTGTCTCAAATTTGCATTTGCATGGTGCTTATCTCAAAGAAACCTTAGAGCCTTTGTGTTATGAGCTCACAAGTACTTGTAGATCACACAGCTTGCAACATTGGGGAGAGGATTATATGGTCACAAAAGAAACAGACTGGGAAATCAAATTGTTATCCAAAAGCTTGCCAAACAAAAATTAGATGGCTATTTCAGTTTAGAATCAAGAGTTTAGCAACCAAGGGTTACTTTGTTTAAGCAAGTGATGCTAACCAAGAAAAGTAAAAAAAAAAAAAACAGCAGCCTTTAAAGACAGGTGGCTGATTCTCCCTATGGAAAAAGAGAAAAGTGTAGAAAACAATCGGAAAACAAAAACCAAAAAACCTCCCCATCTGCTTGGCAACCTACCACCATCATGATTTTACATCGTTAACTTTTATAAGTAATGTTATCTGTAAGGATAATTATGGAACCAGTATTAAACTGAGATGTTTTCAACTTTGAGTCATTTAAATACATCTTCCAAATAATATAGTTTTGTAATATAATTAAATATAATTTTAGATGAATATTGAGCTTTTAGTTTATACTCTGCACAAAGGGCTCTGGGTAGTAAAAGCAATCCATTTGTGTAGTAGAGTCCTTAGGTTTTGTTAAGCCGGAGGGTTGCACTTTTAAGTAACTGGGGCTGGTAGCCATATTTCATTGAGACTTGGCCTCCTTTTCTGGTTTGTTTTAATAAGAAAGAAAAATTCAAACTATGATACAATGTTTTCTTTTCATTAACATTTTCATTTAAATGCATTGAAAAAGCTCTTTGATAAGTATTTAGGCAGATTTTTATCATGTATCACCTTAATGCATACATAAAAATGAAAGTTAAAATAGTTGATTAATGTTTTCCCAGAACTTGACATTCAGAATCTCACTATTCTTATTTACCTTCTGAGAGTTTTCGGTGCACAGATTGTTCCCACAATATGTTCCTCTGAGCCACCCAGAGCTTCTGTCATGCTGCACTAAAAACAGTTTTATTTATTATTGACATTTAGCTGACCTTCAATGCTGTGTCAGTTTCAGGTGTACAACGTAGTCAGTTGACAATTCTACACATTACTCAGTGCTCACCATGATAAGTGTATCATCATCTGTCACCATACAAACTTATTACAATATTATTGACTATATTCCCAGTGTTGTACTTTTTATCTCTGGATGAGAACAGGAAATTAGTTTATTTATTTTATAATAAATAAACCTATCTCACCCATTCCCCCATCCACCTCCCCTCTGGCAACCACCAGTTTGTTCTTTGTATTTTAAGAGTCTGTTTCTGGTTTTTATTTGCTTGTTTGTTTTGTTTTTTAGATTCCACAGATGATATTTGCCTTTCTCCATCTGACTTATTTCACATTGCATAATACCCTCCAGGTCCATCCGTGTTGTCATAAATGGCAAGATCTTGTTCTTTTTTGTAATTCTACTCTTAATTTTTTGAGGAACCTCCATACTGTTTTCCGGAGTAGTTACGCCAATTTACATTCCCACCAACAGTGCACAAGGGTTCCCTTTTCCCCACCTCCTGGCCAACACATTTGTTCTTTCTTGTCTTTTTAATACTAGCCATTCTGACAGATATAAGGTGATAGATCTCATTGTGGTTTTGATTTTATTTCTCTGATGATTACTGATGTTGGACATCTTTTCATGTGTCTGTTGGACATTTGTATGTATTTTTTGGAAATTTGTCTAGGTCCTCTGCTCATTTTTTCAATTTGAATATTTGGGGGTTTTTTTGTATTAAGTTCCTTACATATTTTGGATATTAACCCCTTATCAGACGTACCATTCACTACTATCTTCTCCATTCCATAGATTCCATTTTGACTCTGTTGTTGGTTTCTTTTGCTATGCAACAGCTTTTTACTTTGATGTAGTCCCAATAGTTTATTTCAGCTTTTGTTTCCCTTACCTGAGCAGACATATCCATGAATATGTTGCTAAGGCCAATGTCCAAGAGATTACCACCTGTTTTCTTTTAGGAGTTTTATGGTTTCAGGTCTCACATTTACTTTTTTTTAATTTTAAAATGTTTTCTATTTATTTTTGAGAGAGAGAGAGACAGCATAATCGGGGGAGGGTCAGAGAGAGAGGGAGACACATAATCCGAAGACAGGCTCCAGGCTCTGAGCTGTCAGCACAGAACTCGATGCAGGGCTCGAACCCACAAACCATGAGATTATGACCTGAGCTGAAGTCGGACGCTTAACCAACTGAGCCACCCAGGTGCCCCTCACACTTATTTTTTTAAGTAAGCTCTGTGTCCACTGTGAGATTTGAATTCCTAACCCCAAGATCAAGAGATGCATGCTTCATGGACTGAGCCAGCCAGGTGTCCCTCAGATCTCACATTTAGATCTTTAATCCATTTTGAGTTTATGTGTATGATGAAAGAAAGTGGTCCAGATTCATTCGTTTGCATGCAGCTGTCCAGTTTTTCCAATCCTGTGTTTGAAGAGACTGTCATTTTTCCATTACATATTCTTGCCTCCTTTGTCAAAGATTAATTAACCATACAATTGTGCATTTATTTCTGGGATCCCTATCCTATTTCCATTGATTTATGTGTCTATCTTTTTGCAAGTACCCTAATATTTTGATTAGTATAGCTTTGTACTATATCTTGAAATCTGGGATTGCGATGCCATCAGCTTTGTTCTTTCTCAAGATTGCTTTGCATGCTGCACTTTTTATAAAAGCACTCTGTGGGTCATCCAAGTTACTGTCCCTCCATTTGCATGGCTTAATGCTGGTAGGATTTTTTTGGCAACCTTATCCAAGATTTTCATATAATAACCAGTCTGTTTTTCTTCTTCAAATGATCCTCTTTGCACTTGTTTGCCTGAACATTTTCTTCTTCGAATG